TTTTTATAGACAGAAGTCTAAGCTTGCTCTCAACTGGCAACTACATTGAAGTTCCCTCTGGACCCACATTTACGCCCCACCTAAGTGCCTCCTGACTGAACTGAGTTCCCTGCAGAAGCTGCTCTGAGCTGCCCAGAGCTCAGCCCTTCCTGGACCAGGCTGCCCTGGGGACCTGTGCTTCCACCACATGGACATACAGCCTTTCTGGTCACCCTTGCAGCAATGTCTCCAGCCTCCAGATGCTGACTGATACAAGAGACTTCACCCCCACATCCAGCAAGTTGCATTCCCAAGTTCTGTAACAGCTAAGATCCAAGTTCCCCGTAAGCATCCTCTTGAGGCCTCCATCCATCACTGGTTCCTGGGCAGTGAACACTGATTACACTTGCACTCTGGCTTCCAGGTGCCTGACCGTGGGAACACCTGCAAACTTGTTGAGCTGGATTTTTATCAGTTGGTTTCCCTCTCCTTTAATGCCATTCACTGCCAGTTCTCTTGAGGATCAGCCAAAGAAGGAGGCCTGTAAGCAGCAACGCGGTGTTCAGGAGAGCTTTTATTTGTACGGAACAGTTTTAAAAATACAGAATAAAATAGCTTTGTCTCTACTATTCACAACATCTGGTCCAAATATTACATATTCTTTTTAAAATACTTAAACGTTTAATGAAGCCATGTTAGAAAAACAATATGAAAATTCTTTTTAAAAACTCCGTAAAAGAATTACACATCTCAAAAAACAACCCCATCCCAAATACCCTCGGTATGCAAAATAAAAAACAAAAATGAAACAAAACAAAAATCCCAGAAAGTCGGTCACAAAAACTCAAGGAAAATGAAGTCAACCCTACTGTTTTAAGAACAGTCAGAAAGCGTATTAATGTGTCAAATAAAAATTGTCACTAACAAAGCAAAATGTAGTAATTGGAACTGTCAGTAAGATGACAACACTGGAAACACAGCAATTCTGCGGAGACTGGAGGGTGTGGACACTGAGGGATGAAGAGGCAGTCAGGCACAACCTAAGAGAGCAGGAATGTCTGTGAGGCTGCTGAAAAGGGAACCCCAGCACTAACATGCTTTATGAGACCACAGGCAGAAGCTGAACGCCAGCAAAAGTGAGCGAGCGGCCTTTTTTTTTTTTTTTTTTTTTTTTTGCACTACTCCTGTTGTGACTGAGGCTGGTGGAGGGCCGAAGATGTCCTATTTATTCTATGTGTCCAAAGCATCAGAGGGCAGGGCACAACATACAATTGAGATCCAAGGCTCTTTGAAGCCTTGAAGAGAAATGAGCTCTGTGGATGCTCATCACCTCCACCAACAGGGGGCGCAGCTGGGCTGTGCACACCAGCACCCAGGAAAGGGAGCCCTGTGTAGCTTTTAATCTTTGCAAGGCAACCTGGAGGATGCTGCCAGCTCTGGCCAGAAAGGTTCTAGTCCGAGGCCACTGCCACAGCGCCTTACTCATCTCTCTGACCTGGCCACACTTGTGGCATAAATATTACTGAAGATTATATTTGAAGACATGACATCTAAGTTGCTAGTACCAATAGTTCAGCAGGGACAGGAGTTAAGAAATCACAACTTAGCTCTTGGGAATAAAATATATGGATGGGTAAATAAAGTATACACACATACTAGAGATTCATCAATGGAGAAATTCTATCATCACATGACATTGTCATGAAAATTATATCATTCCCTCCCTGGAAAACTGTGACTATTATCCTGGGCAGAAATGTTATTTTATTATATGGAAATACTGCAATATTCATGCATAAACCAAGTTGTAGTCATGAGTCAGTATTCTACAGCATAAAGCAAATTCTGGGTGTGAATTTATCTCCATGAAAAAGGGAAATCTTGGGGGTCCACGACACTTCATTCTAGCTGGCTTGACCCTTAACAGAAAACTTGGTATTTGAAACCCTCTTAAGAAAGATTCTGAATGCAAATTTTCTGTCAGTGATTCTAAGCTTAACTCCCTAATAAGAATGAGGATCATTTGCAAGGACTGGACACATTTCCCAGCATTCTGTGAATCATGTCAGACAAGTATTTTATCAAAACCAGTGGTGGGGTCTTCTCTGCCCCCCACCTGTTCATATGGCATCTCCTGTTCATATAAACACTTCCTACTTTCCGTGTAAGGGGTTTCAATCAAATACTTTTTTTTGGGGGGGGGTGAGTTGGGGGAGGTAAGCAGGTGACCTCTGAGGATGGCGGGTAGGTGGTCACCAGAAAGTGGAGACTGAAAGCCCTTCCCAAGGACATTCAAATTCAAAGTATTTTAGAATGCATGGCTGTTATGTGATGCAGACCAGCATACAGATGCTGACCACGTATGTCCACCACTCTCCCCAAGACCCCCCCCCCCCCTTCACAGGTATGCTGAAACCCAAGAAACAGATGGGCACATTTCTTTTCGCCTTTCAGTTAGACTTTCCTTCTCTGGCACATTAACCAACAAGAGGGACCACTTCTTAAATTGGCCCATAGGTGTTGCATGCAAAGGTAACTTTCACAGGCTGAGCAGGAAGCACCAGACTCAATGAAGACTTTTTGTCAGGCTCCCTCCCTCCTCCTGTCTTCTGTCTCTCCCCTTGGACAGAGAATCTAACATGTGCCCCAGTGAATTAATCAACCAGGGCAGAAATTAACAGTAGGGTGGATGCAGGGTTTCCCCCTTCATGTAAGACATCTAAGACATCCCCAGACTCACAGATTTGAAGTCTCCCAATAAGATCTGCCCCAAGAGTCACTTCAGAGGGCCTGAGTGTCTGAAACACATAACCAAGAGATACCCAATGGGAAAGAAAAGGCTGGTTAAGTTGGGCTGAGAATTTGTCTCGAGTTACCCATGGTTCTGACACTTTTACTTGGCTATTTGGCCCTTCTGCTGACCTAGAGAGCTGGAAATAGTATAAATCTCTGAGAAGTTTAGCAGTTGCTCCCCTTCCTCAGAGCAGAGACATTGGAGATGCTAAGCAGACTACATATCATAAAATGAGAGACCAGCTCAACACAGAGGGGGCTGTCCACCTCAAGGGGACATATTTGAGGGATGAAAGCAAGTAACCAATGTGCTTCTGGTCACTTTGTATCAAATATACATTTTTAAAAATTTGAGAATCAATGTTCCCTACTTTAATCTGCAATAAGAGCTTGGTCAACCAATGCAGTGACTCTGAAGTGTTCCTGCCATATTAAACCTCAGAGCTAAACATTTCCGGGTCAAGGGGGTGGCTTGTAGTGACACAAAGATATCCCAAGGGAGTAAAGCCAAATCAGCCTCAGATAACAAGAAATACACTATATGTCAATGCACGGCTACTGTGGACCAGGCCCATGTTCTTGGAGCCAGGAATGCCCACTACCCTGCAAAGCTCAACCAGGTCAACAACCACTTCAGAAGTACCTCATGATGTGAAGTGAGGTCACTACTTTAGGTCTCAGGTTTTTCCTTGGCTGAAAACTTCTAACCAGTTTAAGAAGTAGTCTTCCTCCTAATTCACAGAAAGAATTTAGTGTTATTAATTAGAACTCTTTTTAACAGAGGGGGCACGAGCCAGTCCCTTTCCTTACCACCTTCCGTAATAATTTAAAACATAAAAGGCAACATTTGCCTAGGGAATCTAATCTTCCCCCATACAAAAGTTAGTGGAGATGCAACATGGCAACCCATGGAAAGTTCCCTTGAGTCATGGTTGCAAGGACTTGTAACATTAGACCTTTAGCTGGAGTAGGGAATTTGCCAGGATGACATACCAATCAATATGGCAGCTCTGTTTGATCTCTACCCCCAGCTTCCCTTCATCACAAAACAAATTCACATGTAACTTGACCCATGGTTTTCTGGGCTCTGGTCCAGTAGTCAGTTTTGATAAATAGATTAGGCATTACAGTATTTACACTTTCATGGTATCAAGCAATACAAAACACAACCACAATAATGGTTACTGGCCTTCAAAAGCCATTACAACGAGCTTCCCTGATGGCGTCCACAGCTTGACAACAGCTGGTTCTTTTCTTAATGGGGTGGGGCTGAGGACAGGTAATAAGGATGCTGGGGGGGAGGGGATCAGAGAGTCACATGGAAAAACACTGATTTCAAAAATCTGTTATAATCAATAACATTAAATAGGAATAAAACCTTGTAATTATAGACACGCGCAACAATAACAAACATCCACATGACAGCAAAGCCAAGACTCCCAGGAATATCTGGTGCCCTATGTGGCACCAGATGCCTGTCACACCAGCCAGTGGTGATAGATGTCAGATAGGGTGTCTCAGCTATCAGTAAAAAAAAAAAAAAGAAGCCACCAGAAAATGTGCTGGTCCAGCCTGGGGCAGGGTGGCATGGAGAAAGAGCAGTTGAGAATCAGATATGACTTCAAGGTACTTTCCCTTCCCCTCCAGCTCCCTGACAGATTTCCATTTCAGTACAAACACAGATCTGTTTCCTGTATTCCTGTAGACAGACAAGAACAGAGTGGCCATGTCAGTTTGCAACAGAGTCAGTTTCCTCCCCCTAGAGGAGACTCAGAGAAATACAATCACAAGTGACCAGCCAGTTGTGACAGTGCAAGGACACATGCTCCTCATGCACGAGATGTCTGCAGACACAGGCTGTGTGAAGAATAGTGAATGTCAAATAAAAAGAGAAATGGGTCCATGTATGTCCAGGTCAGAAAGCCACTGGACGGTGAGGGTGGCTGGGGAAAACTAGTGTCGAGTGCAACCCAGGTCTTGAATATGATCCCACCCTTCTTAGGAAGGGCATGGAAAACAAGGAATCTTCAGAGGGTCTCAAACATCGCCTCCCACAGGAGGACTGGGATGTCAGCTTCAGTGACCATGGTCATCAATGGATGTTCTCAAAGGGCAAAGGGTCATGGGTTTAATTTAAATAAGGACATAGATGAGACACCATATTGGACAGATCACCACCCACAACAGAAAAGCTATTTGTAATCAGTCTTAGCTCCAGGGTGCAGAATGTAAATGTAGATATACAGACATCTATTTTACTGCGTATGACTCAGTAAGGAACTGCGGACACATGCCTCACTGTAACCCGCCGGCCACCGGGCGCCCCTGAGGCTATACTGTGGCCTGTGAGTCTTCATCTGAATTCCTGCCACCACTGCTCTTCCTGAGGCCTTTCCACGTGTAGCCCACAAACGTTGGGCTGATGGGCAAGTAGCTGAAGCATCGATATTTTTTGATAATGTTCATGCCAAATGGCAAATCGTAGGACTCCATGCCATCGAGTGACTTGTTCCCTTTGCCGACGCCCTTCTTCCACTTCCTGATTCCTCTTTCCTCTGGAGTACCTGTCACACATGCAAGTGCAGACAGACACACAGACACAAAAACAAGAGAATGTTGAGTTTAGCAGCTGACATAAAGACTCTTCAAAATATATTAGTCCACAGACCAGACCTGTCTGGGTGAGAGAGAAGAAACCCTGAGGAACTGCTGGTACTCAGTTACCCCCCTGAACCAAACAGAAAGTGAAGTGAAGTGCAGAGAAGCCCTCTTATTCCAGGGCTTTCCTCCCCCCACATTCTCAATTTTCACTGGTGAGGGTTGCCCAGGCCAGACCCTTCCCTTCCTGGGGCAATGTGTCAGCCTCCTAAATGGTTCTCCCATCCTTCCACCTTACCCCTGCCTCCAAATCTTTCTCTCTCCTCTTTTTTGGACCGAGAATGCCATGCTTATTTATTACCTTCCCCTTCACCCAAGTTAGTATGTCCTATACTACAGCTAGTTACTCCTGGCAACCATCCAAGAACATTTCTGTTCGTGTGAAAACCTTTTCCTGAATTTTTAGATTAGTGGTCCTTATACAATACTTGTCCTTTGATTACTGACCTATTTCAGTCAACATAAGGCCATCTAGGCTCATCTGTGTTACGAGGTGTTTTGTGGATTTACAATCACTATTCTTTAATGTTGTGTAGTATTCCACTGTGTGTATGTGTGTGCCATAGTTTATTTATCCATTCTTTCATTGGTGGGGATTTAGGTTATTTCCATCTTCTTTTTGCTTTCATGAACAGTGCTTTGATGAACATTGGTGTATATGGTGGTGGCTGGTGGTAACGGTGTGCCGTGGAGGCGGTTCCAACTCCTAGTGACCCTGTATAGGGTTTCCAAGGCTGTAAATCTTTACAGAAGCAGAAAGGCTCATCTTTCTCCCACAGAACGGCAGGTAGTTTTGAATTTCTGACCCTGAGGTTAGCAGCTAACTCGTAACCACTATGCTACCAGAACTCCTTTGGGTATCTATATTGTTGTTGCTAGGTGCCATCGAGTCAGTATCAACTCATAGCGACCTTGTGCACAGCAGAACAAAACACTGCCTGATCCTGGGCCAACCTCACTACTGTTGCCACACTTGAGTCCAACAATGCTGCCAACTTAGGTAAAGAGTTCATGGAAAATAGAATAGAAAGAAAATGCCGTTTTTCCCACAAACTTTTTGCAGCCTCCCTCATACATCTATTCATCATGGCTTATTTATCTCGGATATACACAACCTTGTTGCTATTGTTATCTGCCCCCTGGGATAACCACTGAGGTGGTTCCGACTCATACCAACACTGTATAGGGTTTCTGAGGAGTAGTCGGTGAACTGAAACTGCCAACTCTGCAGTTTTAAAAAGACTTTACAGTCCAGCGCATTAACCCACAGCATCACAACCAGGACTCCATATCCAACATATACAACACCAATTATCCTTAACAGTGTGCAGAAAATACGCAAATCTGACTTGGCAAAACATAGCTAAGTCTTCATCACACATACCACGCAATCCATCCCACACCAGGCACACCACCTACCTCAGGCCTACGCAGACACACAGAGGGTTTTACACTGCTCTGCTCAACCTTTGTGTTTGTGTGTGTGTGTTTGTGTGCACTTGTCCTGCTCCTGGGGGATTGGTCATCCAGTGGCTGCTCGTGACCACTTGGCCCCCTGACTGATGAGTCAGAGAGGAAATGCTGAGGAAGCAAGAGTCAGCAACTCCTAGGTTTCTTTGCACAAATCCTCCCAGCACAGACATCTGTGTTGGATACAGGATGTTATGGTCTGTGTTGTGTCCGCCTCTCTGTTGTTAAGTTAATGCAGCCAGGCCAGAGGTGGGTGGTCCTAAAACTAATCACTTCTGTGCTATCAAAAGATCAGAAGAGGCAGAGGCCCTGTCTCTATGTAAAAGAAAGCCAATGACTGCTGGTAGGCACCAGAAATTGAGGCAACAGATGTTGATTTGAAAAAATAAATTTATGTTCTTTAAAGCCCTGCTCCGGTGGTATTTCTGTTACAGCAGAACTAGGAAACCAAGGTAACAAGCTACCTAAAAACAGACTTCTGTACCTGAGCCCAGGTAACACGCTATATTTTGTGGTGGTGTTTACGAAGCTCATTATTTTCTTACAACTAAAGAACTTCCAGGAGTCCTGGTGTGTGTAGTATCATAGGGTAAGCACTCAACTTCAAGGTCGATTTCAACCGCAAAGTTGGTGGTTCAAACTCACCCGCTGCTCCTCAAAAACCCTATACAGGGTCACTATGAGTTGGAACCAACTCCATGGCACTGACCAACAACAAAGGACTTCCAGAAGAATAATCTGTGTTGGATAAAGTATAGTCAGAATGCTCCTTAGACATGTCATCAGAAGGAACCAGTCCCTGGAGAAGGACATCACGCTTGGTAAAGTAGAGGGTCAGTGAAAAGAGGAAGACCTTCAATGATATGAACTGACACAGTGGCTTAACGAAGGGTCCAAACATAGGAACAACTGTGAGGATGCTGCAAGACTGGGCAGTATTTTGTTCTGTTGTACATAGGGTTGTGGTGAGTTGGAGCTGACTTAACGGCACCTAATACCAACAAAGATAGGTTTTGCTGGTGTTTGAGCAACTCAGTTGATCTTTTACCTTCCATCTATTTGACTTCTGACTCTCCCTCTCAATTAGTTCTGGTTTAGGAGAGAAAGGGCTTGTTACTTATTAACCCTCTTAAATATAACACCTTCCATCAGTCATGCCTGTGCTTAGGGGAATTCTCAATCAAATCTTTAAACCCAAGAATAAGCATTACCTCTCCTGCCTGGAAGGCAGTCACCTGCCAGCACTATGTAACGGTACACCAAAGCCTCCTCTATGGACTGCGCAGGCCGGAAGGTGGCCCACTTCTCCTCCTAGGTCCACCAGTCCGTGCCGGGCACAAAATGCACCACGGAAGGAACAGGGTCCTTGTGCTGGAGAGAGCATGGCCTCCCTGTGCCTCTACTGTTGGTCCCGTTGACAGTCACGGTCTACCACACTACACTGCCTTTTGGTCTTGCAGTTGGCTGGGGGCCTGAGGGATGCCTCAGGATGCAAGAGAAAAGAGAACTTGAACATGCAGTGGAAAGCCCCAAAAGGTTGTGGAGAGTGGGCAGGCCGCTTTGGAGTGGATTCAAGGGATCTCAATGCCTGACCACTCTGTACAAGAAATTTATTCATTTTTAATAGGAAGTTGGCCACAAGAAAAACTTACTAGACAAAAAAAAAACACCACCAAAAGAACATCATAAGAAAGGGTTGAGAGTGTAATGTTCATCACTTTAGAAGACAATCTTTAATCAGCGGATGAGTTTTTAACTGATTTACTCTTTCTGCTTTCCATTTTTATTTGGCTAAATAAAAACTCACAAATACCACATACCTGGGATGGTGTTATCCAAAATAAAAGCCACGCAGCCTCCTACAAACATAGCAGTTGTGAGAAGAACATTCAACACTTGATCGATCCCTGTTATTCCTAAAAACAGAAACAAATGATAATGTATTATTGGTAGTCACTGAGTTGCATGGGGTGCAAACGTCTCAGGACGTGCGTGAGGACAGCAAATCACCACCACTAATGTTTTCAGATCTTTGGATCCATTGAGAGTTTCGGTTGCAGATGAAAATAATTCCAACTAAAAGACGGCTGTTGTAAAGGCTCTGGTAAGTAATAAAACAGCAAAACTATGTGAGGGATAAGGAATCAAACAAAGGTTTTCATTATTCTGAGTTTACATTTTTAGCTGCCTTTTAATTAGGAAATAGACTTGGGGGAGTAGTTTTAATCTTATAGTCCAGAAACAGAGGACCCTAGGACCAGCAAGGGAGAAGAACACAGGTGGAATGTGGGACCTTATCCAGAGAGGCAGTGACACCAGAGATGGAGGCAGAGATGGGGACATGCAGAGAGGGAGCAGCTGAGGACTCTAGAATCATGGGAAGAGAACGACTCAGAGCTGGCAGCCAGGAGACAGACTTGCAGAATATGCCCTTTGGTTGTTTAAATTATTATATATGCCTGAGTGCTTTTGTGTACAACCCTCACCCACCCCCTCCCCAAAATTAAATGATAACACACATGTTCAAAAGTGCCAGTAAACACACATCTTAGTAATTTTAACAAAGTAAATATGCAAGTACCCACCATGCAACTGAAAAGAAAGTAGGCTACGTACAGTACCCCAGACACTGGCCTCAGTCTTTCTCAATCTGTTACTTCTCCTTTCCTCTTGTCTAAATGCACACTGCCTTGATTCCAAACATTCTGTGTGCACTTTATGTGGCTTTGAACTTTGTATAAATGGACTTAAATACATGTTGTTTTAAAATACATGCTTCCTTTACTTTTGTGATTTATCCATTTTTTGAATGTACTTGCATTTCAGTTATTTTCCTTACAGTGTCCATTGGAATATAAATAAATTTTAGGACTATAGCAACTTTTACCCATTTTGTGGTTGAAAAACATTGGTAGTTCCTCTAATTTGGGGTTATTAAACATTTTTATAGATATGGAAAAAAAACCCACATAATGATCTCCACTTCAGCATTTGTTCCAAATCAAGTATCAACAGCAACAGCTGTCACTTGGGATGGTCCCTCCTTGGTTCATTCTTGATGACACTGGGGGCTAGGTAACAATGAAGGAGTTAACAAGGCTCATCCTGAGTGCTCTTAGCTATCATCCCTGAAGGAAAACATGAATTCCAACACATTACATATTTAAATACTTGGGGAAATCCACAGGTTTTCCAGAGAGGCATTCTCCCAAAGACACGGTTCCAGTAAAGATACCACCACACCCACATCAAGTCCTCACACTTGCTGGCTATGTGGAACTGCAGAAAAGTTTCCAGATACACAGTAGCAAAGTGAGGTGTGGAAGACAGACACAGATTGCTCATCAGAACAATTCCTGGAGCTCGGGTCCTCTCCAACTGTGGTTCTAGCTCCCCCTCGGATTTCAGATCAGCTTTCCTTACCTGTGACAAGAGGGTTCTGTCTGAGGTAACTAGGAAGGACGAGTCCAAAGAAGATCGAAAATCCAAGCACAAAGAGGTTTCGGGAAGAATTTAAATCGATGAACTGCAGGTTTGAGAGTCCAACAGCTGTGATCATCCCTAAAGAGAAAAACACCAGTTCACTAGTGTCTGGTTACAGATATCCCTTGGCTGTGGAAAGCAGACTACCTGCACTGCCCCTTCTCCTCCCTCAGAAACAAGCCAGGAGACCAGCACAGTGATATACACTGTAACTACCCTGGGTCTCTGAACCAGACGGCCTTTGGCCTATACGCCCTTTGGGTTTATCACAGGGGCAAGAAGTCCACACGGTCATAGCTTGTTCCTGCAGATGGTGGGTTTGAACCAATAACCTATAGGTCTGCAGTCAAGTGCTTAACCACTGCACCACCAGACCCCTACTATTAGAAATCTAGTCAGGAAGGCTCGGCATCGAGGAAATAAAATCTCACCAAACAGAGTGCAGAAGAGGGCTCCCAGCACAGGATCGGGAAGGGAGGCGAAGAGGGCACTGAATTTCCCCACCATGCCCAGTGCCAGCATCAGGGCCGCCCCGTACTGTATCACCCGGCGGCTGCCCACCTGGAAGACATAAGCAGAGGGCAGAGGTGCTCACTGGATGGTCTTCCAGAGACATGAACCTCCCAGAGCACGACAAAGAGGAGGAACCAGTTCCCAGGAAACAAGACCAGCCTCAGTTGTTCATGGCAACTCCATGCAGAATGCGATCATGGTGATCTAAAGGGTTTGCACTGCCTAATTTTTGAAGTGGTTCGCCAGGCCTTTCTTCCTAGTCTGTTTCAGTCTGGAAGCGCTGTGGAAACCTGTTCAGCATCACAGCAGCATGAAGGTTCCACTGACAATGGGACCTGGGTCTCCTCTACAGAAGGTGGGAGTTCTACCAGCAAGCCACCAAAATCTCATTGTTGTTAGTGCCACTGAGTTGATTGATTCTTAGTGACCCTGCATAGGGTTCCCAAGAAGTGGCTAGTGGGTTTGAAATTAGCAGTCCAATGCTTATCTTACGGCACCACACCAAAATCTAGATGACTTGTATTTAGTCTCACTTCAGCATGAGTATGGGATTCAACATGAAATTACCATAAACCACTAGAATGATTTATAAAGATTATTCCTCTTTTTCCATCCCTGCCCCATCCTCTGAAGCTGGCTCTGCTCTTTTTGGTGGTGGTTCGGCCTCAGCTTCCACACTGGGGTGATGCACTTAGGTTCCCGGTCTCTAGTGACATCCCACATTCACCGAGGGAGTCTATGGCATCTCAGAAGCATATTGTAAGAGCTAACTTTTCTCACCATGCACCAAGGGAATGCACCCTAAAGAACTTCAGCCTCACCTTTCCCCATACCCTAAATCAGACAAAGCCCCAAGACAGCTGGTGAACCACCCCTCTTGAGTTTAAGTCTTCATGGTCTCTTGTGTCTGTGAAGGGTGGCCAAGAGTAGAAGTCACAGAACAGAAGTCCTAAATAGGTTACTGGTTCATATGTCTGCCCCACTTCTAGCTGTGTAACCAGGGCCTCTCTGGGCCTCAGGAGTCTCATATCTAAAAAGGATTTGGTTTTGATTTGAAAACTACATGAGATAGTGAGTATCCAATGGTTTCTAAGGTACCTGGCAAACAGTAAGCTATCTGATAGCCTCCCGCCTGGTCCTGCTGTCTCTGCTTCACCACCTACCCTCAGCACCAGCAGCTGTAAAGTCCAGCCTAGAATTCCCTATGGACAGGCACCATCCCATTTGCTCTACGGTTCAGTTCACAATTGCGGAGCCCACGAGACTTGAGAGACTTTTTGCTCCAAATCCCACTTCAAAACAGCTGTGGGTGTTGGGTGTTGCTGGGTCCCAAGGGACTTGAAGGGAGAGCCACTGGCTCATTAAAAAGCACTGACATGGTGCCTTTTCATAGTAAGTTGGCATTGTTCAAATTTTAATCCAGTTATCTCCCAATATCATGTGTTAGGAGGAAGCCCGAAGGACCACTACTTACTACTCCCTCTGGTGGCCCAGGTGAAGTGCTCTAGAGGGTGCAGGAAGGGAGGTGTTTTTCTCCATCAACAACAATTTCTGTGGTTAGCTGCCAGGGAGTGGACCCCCGACTCGTGGTGACCTCATGTGCAACAGAACTAAATGCTGCCCTGTCCCGGGCCATCTCATGATCTTTGCAGCCTGAGTCACCATGCTCCCTCGGGTTTTCACTGACTGATTTACAAGTTCCCAGGCGACAATTTTACACTTATTGCAGCGGTTTCTCATACACCTACCCCATCATTGCACAGGGTTCATTTGCCTGTTTTGACAACAGAGTGATTGTGACAACACTAATCTACACCTGGCTGAAGTGGTCAATGCCCCCTCCGTATTTCCTAGGATCTCATTATCATTTCTCTTTCTTGATTTATTATTGTTGTTGAGAATATATACAATATACGGGGCAAAACATACACCAATTCAACAGTTCCTAGCTGGCACAATTCAGTGACACTGATAACATTCTTCGACTTGTATAACCATTCCTAGCCTCCTTTTCTGAGTTCTTCCTCATTCACATTGACTCATTGCCCACTATGGTTTCTGCTCTTAGACTTGCTCCTGTCACGTTGATTCCATGTGGTGGTGGTGTTAAAGTGCAATCAAGTGAGTTCCGACTCACAGCGACCCTGTGTAGTGCCGCACCAGGACTCCCTTGATCCTATAGTTCTTAAAAAAGCACAGTGCCCAATGCAAATGCTCTTGTGGTTTGTTTTTAACTGTTGCAATTAAGTGCCATCCAGTCGCTTCCAAGTCATAGTGACCCTTTACTGTGTTTCCAAAGAGAGGCTGTGGGTTTGAAACACCAACCTTATGGGTAAGCAGTCCAATGCTTATCCTACAGCGCCATACCAGCTCAACTATTGTTTGGTTTTAAAAAGACTTCAGGGGCTATTTTTGGTCTATGTTTTAAGGATTCTTTCAGGGCAACAGTTTAAGGGTTTCATCCTTTGGCTCCAAATGTCTGGTGACTGTATGAGAATCTAAGATTCTAGTCTGCATTTTCTCCCTTTTACCAGGATTCAATCTACAAAATCTTTGAACAAACTGTTCAGTCATGGTAGCCAGGCACCGTCCAGTTCTCACAGAGGCATTCAGCCACACATTTCCACATCTGCCTCCTATACATACCTAACCTTTCCTCTGTGACTCTAGGAGAAGTACCGGTGTGGCGCTGTAATACACACTGACTACTAACTGAAAGGATGGCAGTTCAAACCTACCAGCTGCTCCTTGGAAACCTATACAGGGTTGAGTCAGAACGACACTCCTAAACAATAATAGTTGTTCCAGGCAAATGAGACCAACTGTAACGCCTTAAATGTCAGGTTTCATTGGTTGATTTTTAAAAGTGAATCACCAGGCCTTTCCTCCCAGTCTTAGTTTGAAAGCTTTGTTGAAACCTGTTCAGTGTCATAGCGACACACAAGTCACCACTGAAAAGATGGCGCACTGGTTGGGAATTGAAGCCAGATCTCCCACAGAGAAGGTGAGCACTCAATCACAGAACCCCAAAGCCTATTACTACATTTTCACTAGGACATCTGACTGGGGATTAGTAACCTGGGTGGCCTGCCAACTCCTGAGAAACTAACAAACAAGGCAGGCAGGCACTGTGTGAGCGGGAACCCCTTGCACGGGGATCTATAATCAAGAAGGATAAGCTTGGTATTTGGTTTCTTTTCATCTGGTTACAGGACATGGCATAGAGATGTCTCTGGAAATCTACCCACCTAATTTTACCAATGTCAAAAGGTCTCAAAAACTTCCAGGCTCACCCCAAGTTCTCAGAACACAGTGCTCAGATGAGTGTGGGTGGCGATTCACACAGTCATAAAAGGGGATGAGGGGTGGGGGCAGCAATGCAACCATCATGAATTATGTAATTACAACACAGGCACACGGAGCTGTTGTAGTCCTCAGCATTATGGCTGGAAGGATTTCATCTGATGAGGCTAGCAGCAGGCACCTTCTCTGGTAGCTGTGTTTGGGGTGGGGCAATCCCAGGTCTGTGTGTCTGAGTTTGGGGTGGCATAGGAAGGAAAAGCTAGGACTCAGGCCCTAAACCTGAGCGATTCACTGATTTATTCTATCTGCTAGATTTCCACATCAGATTTCATTTGAAAAAGGGATTCTAATGCTAAGGTTTGAAAACTATGTTAACTCACTGGTGTAAGACTGATTTATTTTCTGGCAATGAGTGGGATCATCTCTCATCTAGAGCCAGTGACAATTCCTATCCAGTCTCCCTCCTCTGCTTCCCACTCTCATCACAGCATCCAAAGTGACCCTAAGAAAATCCAAACTGGGTCCCTTTCCTAGGGTGCCTGTTCGTGGCCTGTGTGTCGTGTGACCCAGCCTCAGTCCTTGCGTGGGCCTCACCTGCTCCCACCCTTGCTCTCTCTCTTCCCGCCACACTGGACTCCATGCTGTCCTTCAATATTCCAGGCCCACTCCCATGTCAGTGGCTGTGCCCTGGCTGCCACTTCCGGCCTCTGCTCAATGCCATCTTCTCAACTAGGCCTCCAGACCTTTTTATGAACACTCACCACCACCCAAAACACGCCCAACTGTTTTCTTCATAGTACTTAATAGTCTGAAGGAGCTCTGGTAGCATAGTGGCTACGAATTGGGCTGCGAACCTCAGGGTCAGCAGTTCGAAACTACCTGCTGTTTCGTGGGAGAAAGATGAGGCTTTCTGCTCCCGTAAAGATTTACAGCCTCGGAAACCCTGTACAGGGTCACTATGCATTGGAACCGACTGCACGGCACATAACAACAACCACAACAGCTTATAGTCAGCACACTGTGTCCTGTTATGGACTTAATATGTTCACTGTCTATTGTTTGTCGTCCCCTGCTGGAATATAAGCTCCATGAAGACAAAGATCTTTTTCTTTTTTTAATCACTGATTAAGCCAAGTGCTTGCAAGAACAGCCTGGTATCAGACCAGTGCATACTAAATGTTTGCAGAATGCACCAGGGAAAGGACAGTAAGTGGGTGCCTCCCTACCCAGGCTGAGCCAAGGGAGATCTCTAAATCAGCACCACAAAACCCCTCAAAGAAAAGAATCAGAGTCCTATCCTTTAAAAACAAAGCAATGCAATGGATCGAATCGATCAAAGCAAAGGACACTTAGCGGCCCAACCAGGCAATGAGAGAAGTAATTTACCTTGGTGATTCCCAGCACTCCAATGTTGGGACTGGAGGAAGTTGAGCCATTCCCAGTTCCAAAGACACCGTCAAGGACACAGGAGATGCCCTCCACAAAAATCCCCCTAAAATGTGAAGAAAGGAAAGAGAAACATTCACCCAAGGGAGGGAACCCCCTGAAATGTACTGAGTGTTTGGGGGCCAGAAGTGTGGTCTGTGAGCTGCAGACTCAGCTCCCCCGGGGAGAGGCTAGAAATGCAGACTCCCAGGCCCCTCCCCGAATCTACTGAATCAGAACCTGCATTTGTTCAGGTGTCCCCATGCCCGTACATCCTTGAGGAGCCACTCTCTAAATCACACATTAGATGAAGGTTTTCTAAAATCATTCCTAATTAAAAGGAAGCACTTTAGCCAGAAAATAGCCATTTGTTTGGGATCTAACAGAAACGTGTTAGATACGACTCCAATGAGATTAAATGTATTGGTTTGATTCCTATTAAAATTTACTTTCAGCAGAAAGGAAATACCTTACAGTTCAATATAAGCATGAACATTTTCAAAAGAGTCTATATACGAGGGGGCTTATTAAAGTCTGTGGAAAAAAATAATTATAGTATCTTTTCACAAACTTTTAGAAGCCCCTTCATGTAAGTAACTAAATCATATGCAATCGCTCCCTTTGAGAAAGACATAAAACCCAGGACTTAAAGTCCCCTAACAGCCACACTAAGAAATCAGGCCCCCGGCTCCACACACATCCCCCTTGGGGGTGCAGAAGCTTGTTAGGAAGCTGGAGGCACCTGGACCTTTCCCTCTGTCCCCTCCACAGGGTCCAGTTCACTCGTGGCACCCAGAAGCTAAAAGACCACACAGGTCATAAAAGCTCATGAGTCTACAGATCTCATTTATTCCTGCTCTTCTTGTTCTTATTTATATAAACTGCAGTTGTGAATAGTTATATAACGCCTACTCTTATGAACAAATTGGGGAAATGTAATATCTAAACAGGCATAACCTCAAGTGACACTCAATTCCGACTCACAGCATGGCGTCCCTATCCCTATGTGTCTCAGAGTAGAACTACACTCCGTAGGGCTTCTTATGGCTGGTTTTTTTGGAATTAGATGGCCAGGCCTGTCTCCAGTGGTGCCTCTAGATAGACCTGAACCTCCAGTCTTTCAGTTAGCAAGCAGGTATGTTAACTGTTTGCACCCTCAGGGCACTCCAAAATGACACAAAACCAAGGGAAGGACAATGGCTGGATGGGCATTCATGAGCTGAAGGTTTACTGTGATCTTACAGAGATTATCTAATTGAAGTGTTGTAAGGAAGGGCGGGTAGGACTACTGCTTGTTTTAAGGATAAGGAAAATGAGACCAAAATCATGGAGTGACTTGTCCAAAGACAAAGAGTCACTCTGCTGCCTTCGTGCTTTCATGCTGACGCTCTCTGTACCTTCTCTGAGATGATGGAACCTCAGAGCTGAGATGATGGAACCTCCTTCCTCCTGGAGCATACCTGTTGATAGCATGGATGGGAGGTGGCGGGGCGCAGGACAGCCGCGCACAGGCATAGTAGTCACCGATGGACTCGATGATGCTGGCCACAACCGCGCTGAGCATACCAATGACGCCAGCGGCAGAGACGGTGGGCAGGCCCCACTGAACTAAGATGGAAACAACATGGAGTCCTTATTACTTTCCCGTGGAGCAGCCAAAGTAACTGAGACTATGACAGCTCATTTTTCAACCACTGAGTTGTGGTTAACTTGTGATTAACCTTGTGGTTATTGGCCACTTAACCTACTCAACCACCAGGGCCCCTACACATTTTAAAGCCATAAATCTTTTTGGATAAAAATAGTCTGAGGCGCTTTCACTGCTCGAATGAACAAAGTACCTGCACCTTCTTTCTTTGAACAATTACTTAGCATACACCAAGTACAGAGCATGGCGGAAGAGGATGGATAAAATATTCTCTCTCACACAAGAGCAATGCTGTAGTCTGGGGAACAGGACACACTGAGAAAGATCTAGTCAGTGTGTAACAGCTAAACGTTACACACAAACTACCAAAGCTATGTAATGAGAGACCATAGGTTTGAATTCAGGAAAAGCTGGTCAGTGCCTGTGTTTGGAAAGCCTGGGGAAGGGTTCAAAGATGTGGTGGGTGTGGAGCTGCACCTCGGAGGAGGGGGCAGGTCTCAGGGGCATCAGTAGATGGGTAAAGCCAAGAACAAGGGGAGGGAGGTGTCACAGAAGGGACCAGCATGGATTTGGGAGAGAAAGATGTCAGAGTAAGATGTGCAGAATATGCCGGGCATGTGTCTGAGGGCAGAATTCTTGCCAAGGGTTCTTTTACCCCGTGCAGCCCTCAGCAAGAGCTGGGCAGGCTCTGTGCCATCAGCAACATGCTTGCCCAACACCTTAATTCAGGTTGGTTTTAATGGACTTTTCTGGTTCAGATGTCATCTTTATCAAAGTTTGTGTTTTCTAAGTAGCCTTTAATACTGTTCACGTGCAGATTGTGGTTACATTCTCCTAAGCTGACTTTTCAGGGGTCATTTTAACATTTATTATGTTTTGTTTTTTATTTTCTCATCCTCCTTACTCTCTGTTTGCTTATCTATAGTTGTTGATTTTGATGTTTGAGATTTTTATCCAATTGACTTTCACATTTTAAATTTATCATCAGAATTTCTGATCCATTTTCCATCTCCCATGTGTTACTAGGAGTCCTGGTGTGGTGTTGTAGCATAGGCAGTGGACCACAAATTTGGTTTGAACTGCAAAGTCGGTGGTTCAAACTCACCCAGATGCTCCTTTGAAACCATATGGGATCATTATGAGTCAGAACCAGCTTGACAGCACTTTACATGTTTTCACAACTTTTAATCTTATATCTGTTCATTTGCGTACCATTTGAAAGTGAACCTTTACTTTGTTCCTCTACAACAAGGTCTTGCAGTCTCAGCACCAGTAATATTTGGAGTCATAAATTTGAATTTTGCTCCAGCAATCAGTACTGCTAATAACCAACACAGGTAATTCTTAGCACACTACAAATTGAGAACCACTGCTCTGGAGATTTGAAAATAAGTCTCTGGAGTAAGCCAAATCAGCAGCGTTCGTAAGCTCACACTCCTCCAGCTCTTGGGCGGTAAGATTTTGGAGCTATGGTGATACACCAGCTCACAGCATTAAGGGTGTGCTGTCTGGAGCCTCCTTACCTCCTGCCCTGTGAGGTCCTGGAGGCAGTGTCTCTGTCTCAGTCTCATCAACAGTTGCTTCTCCTGACAACCTACCGTGTCTCTACTTTCTCAGAGCTCCATGGCAACCAGCTCCAGGGCCCCCTGTGCATAAATTCCCCCTACCTGCCCTCCTCACCTCACTCCTGATTTTGTTCTCATCTCATTTTTTTTAAAGTATGATAAGATAAACACAACATGGAATAGGCCATTTTAACCATTTTCTAGAGTACACTTTGTTGTTAAGTGCTGTCGAGTTGGTTCCAACCCATAGAGACCCTGTATAGGGCTTCTGAGGAGCATCTGGTGAGCTTGAACCACCAACTTTGCAGTTCTAAAGGCTTTGCAGTCTGGCACATTAGCCCACAGCACCACACTAGGTAGTATTAATCACACTCACAAACTCTTTCACCATCTTAAACAGAATAATGACATTTAATCTCAAGTTAGAAGCTTAGGAGCCATCTTAAGTCATTTTTGTCTAGAAAAAGGAGAAGACGAGAAAGACGGCAGACTAGGCAGAAAGGCTGTGGGGGCTCCCTGCAGCATGGATACGGAAAACGGATGAGATAGATACAGAGACTGGTCCTGGCACAGAGATCCAGTGGAAGGGATAGAAAAGTAGATCAAGCACGCACTGGAAGACAGAGTTGAACAGGTCAAGCAAAACATGAAGTGACTGGAGAGCAGTGGTGGCTGACGGGACATGCCGCAGCCATCTTGAAAGTTCATGAATGACTTCAGATGAGAACACATATTCGTGTTACAGAAACCTACTGTGGCTCACAGAGACAAACGTGCAGTTTCATTTTATTTTTTTTTCCAACCGGCATACAACACCAGGGATTCTCTCGCTTTCCAGGTGGTTGGAGCTACTCAAGAGGCTGTGAGTCCCAGGGAGAAGCTATGTACAATAACCCAAGTAGGGCAGTCTCTGATCCAAATCAGCAAAGTCGATCCTGGCCAGTTCTGAACTAGCTCTCACTAAAGGAGGGGACTGAACAGACATGTGGGATACAGTAAAAAAGGGGGGAAGAAAAGAGGTGAGCAATCTGTGTGGGCCCATCTGGTATAGCATGGACATTTTGAACTTTCTCAGGTGGCTGTGAAGGCAAGAAACCAGTAGGTAGCTCATCACACTGCTTACTGGCAGAGAGAAAGCCACTGACTTTCTTTTTTTTTGCTATGTGGGCTGTTTGTTTGTTTTCCTTCTTCTTCCATCACATGACAGGAGAACTGTGGTCATACAGCCAAGCCACAATCATACCCTCTAAAACCCCATCAATTGGGCAAGAGCCAATACCAGCTGCTGTACACCAGAGCAATGACTACAACCAACATCAGCTAAATCCACTGTGCATTGAACTGTATGAACAATGAACAGAGAACCTCATCTCCTGATCACACCCACCAGGAGGCAATTGATGAGTGTGCCTAAGAATACGCCAACATCCATCCATCAGCTTAATACAAATACAAGACCATCACAATACCTAGACAGTTGCATTAACATGAAGAAACAAAACAGAATAGTTCAAATTACTAAGAGGAAGAGCTAGAAAATGCTTTTGAAGAAGAAAAGGTACTGGAACTATCTGAAAAAGAATTCAGGATAATGATATTGAGGATACATCCAATTATTTCACAGAAAGACTAAGGAAAACAAGAATTCAGAAAAGTGCTCCTGGAACAGTCAAACAAAATAGATACAGCATACAAGACAAAACAAAACCTGCAAATAGAAATCCAGAAGGTCAATACTAAGATCTCACTAATGGATAATACACTGAAAGGGCAAAGGAGTATAACTGAATTAATGGTAGCCAGAATTAGCGAGCTTTAAGATAAATCTCTCAGTACTAGTAGGATAGAAGAATAAACAGAAAAAAAGAATGAAAATATCTGAAGAAACTCCAAGATTCATGTGGGACATCATGAAAAGGAACAATCTACAGGTGACTGGAATTCTGGAACAGGAAGAGACAAAACCACAGAAAACGATGAAAGATGAAATGTTAAAGTATTCAAGAAGCTGAACAAGCATCAAACAGGACAGACTCCAAAAGAAAATGACAAGGCAAAGTTCAAAAAAACAAAACAACAAATGTTGGCAAAGATGTAGAGAGATTGGGACTCTCCTACATTGCTGGTGGGACTGTAAAAGTGCCACTCTGGAAAATGGTATGGTGCTTCCTCAGAAAGTTGGTCAAAGAAATACCTTATGACCCAGCAATCACTCTACTTGGTATATATCCACAAGAAATACAAGCCAGGACACAAGTAGATATATTCACACCAATGTTTACCACAACATTATTCACAATAGCAAAAAGATTGAGATAGTCTAAATGCCCATCAATGGAAGAATGATTAACTTTGGTAAAAACACACACACACACACACACACACACACACACACACAATGGAATACTATACAACACTGAAGAATAACAACAAATCTGTGAAACACCTCATAACATGGATAAACCCAGAGGACATTATGCTGAGTAAAATTAGTCAATCACAAAAGGACAAATATTGTATGAGACCATTATTATACAAGCTTAAGAAAAGATTTCCATATGTTAGCATTTGTGATGGGGAGGGCAATACACAAGAGGAGGGAGGGTGACATATGACCAACAAAGACAGGGGAAGACAGAGAGATGCATGGGTTACTTGGGAGCGAGGTAAATGGTGAAGTTTACACAACCTTGGGACAACAGCGTTCTGTGAGTAGATACATGGATTAAGATGTAGGCTAAATGGGTAAAGGAGTGGAAAAAGAAAATGTTTATGTGTTTTACTGTCTTGTGGATATTGGTTTGAAATAGACATTCAAGTGTGATGAAAATGAATATTGGGAAATAGGATGACAGAAAGCTTATAAGTCTGCCTTCAGCCTATTTGCTATAAGGGGAATTACAATTTGCCCAGGGAAATTGACTTCTTGTTAAAAAGCCTTTGTAGAGTATGGGGCCTTAGGTGGAATCCTGAACTATACCCAGAACCTTCTGAGTTGAGACATTCCCACTTGAAAAGACATGCAGACCAATCCAGAACTGCTGGGAGAACAGAAGATTCTTACTGAAAGAAAAAACCTGCAGAAAAAAGTAAGACTGTTGTGCTGTTTGAATATCAAGCAAGCTGTTTGATTTGGAAAAGTCTGCCCACAGGGAAAACCCCCTTCTAGGACTGAAGTATAAAGGGAACACGTGAGCAGTCTAGCATGCTCACTGGTGACCACCTGGTTCTACTTGTGAGATTAAGTGGGAGAAATGCAGCAATGAAGACATGGACTGAGTCTGGCCATGTAAACTGGCACCTGTTGACCTTGAGATAAGAGAGAAAAGAGGAATGCCTGATTGGTCTGAAGTTTAGGGAGATGAGTGAACTTTTCAGCCATGGGCACTGATCTAGGCCCCTGGGAACTAGGGCTGAAAGTGACAGGGCCAGCTGATCTGAAGTGCAGGGTAGTGTGTGTGAACTCCCAAACTTGTAGCTAGTACCCATGTGACCTAGCTTGGATGGCTAGCTGACCAGAACTCAACCAGATGAAGATAAAAATGTTTGATACTGTGAGCAAGTGTAAATTGTTACAATTTGATGAACTGGACTTTTGCTTATGAATGGAGTTGCTCAAAATTCCAACCAGAATGGAAGGTTCTTCCTATCAAGAAACAAGCTGGTTTCCTCAGTGATGTTGTTGTTGTTATGTACCATGGAGTCAGTTCCAACTCATAGCGACCCTGTACAAGGGTTTCCAAGGCTGTAAATCTTTATGGGAGCAGAAAGCCTCATCTTTCTCCTGTGAACAGATGGTAGTTTTGAATTGCTGACCTTGCGGTTCGCAGCCCGATTTGTAACCACTATGCTAGGGACAGGCAATTTAAACACTGGCTAAAAAAAATGGGTGGGCTGGTAGGGTGACGACAAAGGCATGAAGTGGCTGGTTTGCAAACTTTCATGGGTGTGCTTAGTTTCTGAATGAGGAGGGGTAAGGCAGAATCTCCACAGAATAGTTTTCCTCTTCTCTAGATGGATCTTGGGGGATGATGGTGACAGGATTTTATGATTCAATTATGAATAATTGTTAGCAGGATTGATTGTCACAACTGTGAAGTATAGAAGATGTGTAACTAAAAGTGGGGAGCAGTTAATATTTCATTTCAGGAACAGAGGATCCCAGGACCAGAAAAGAGGTGACAGCAGAGATGGAGGCACGCAGAGACAGAGAAGCTGAAGGCAGGAGGCTGACTTGCAGAATGAGACCTTTGGACATCTAAATTAACATAATTTTTTGTTTTGTATATGGACATCAAATATTATGGCTTTATTTGTGAAACAGAAGATGTAAATGGGGAGCCACAGGGAGGAAGTGGGATAGCTACTGTTGCATGGAGGGGATTGTAATCATTAAGATGAAACAAGTGTATGATTTGTAGAATGTAAAGCTGATGTTCTTGTCTGTAAACCTTCATTCAATTCACAATTAAAAAAAAAAAAAGCAGTACAAAAAGAAGAGGTGTATAATTCTTAGACCATGAAATCTAGTGAAAATTCTCTTTTAAAAATTCTACTCCTTTTTTAAAGTATTCTAAGTACGTCAAGACCAGGAAAAACAAGAGAATTTCCAACAACCCCATTGTTCAATACATTTAGAGCAGTTGTTCTTTGACCCAAACTTAGAAAATTTTTTGCCTCCTTCCCACTTTCCCTCATCATTACAAAATGTGAAAATACGAACTTTTAAAAGTTTGTGAAATATTTCCAATATCTTTTAATTCTGTTTTTCTATAACCACCTTCATACAACTACTAAAACTGGGGGACAAACTGGCACAATCTGATGAAATGCATGCTTCAGCTTTATTTTACAAACGCCAAAGGCTGGCAGAGAGTTCTTTGTAGAACAACTAAGCATGTGACAGCCCACTGGATTCAGGCAAGTCACTCTGAGGTTGGGATCTAAGAAGCAGTACACGTGAGTCCAGGTGACACATGACCTGGTGATCCTGTTCCCTACCCTCCAAAGTTACCCAACACTTAAATTATAACTTAAGATCCGTCTTTGGCCCATTTGTGAATATCTGTTTACCTCTGACAGCTTGGACTACATAAAAGAAAGATTATGGCTCCCCATTACAAGATTATATAAATTCCATTATGCTTGAGCAGTTCCACTTGCTAATCTCCAGGGCACTCCCACTGGAGCCTTCCACTCCCATGACTTGGATCCCATGCAGTTCTAGACTTGCCTTTCTAAGCAGCAATCTACAAATGCTGGCCACTAGAACTCAGTCCTAGTAAAAGACCCCTTGTGCAGGATTTCATCCCAGTGGAGCCAACAGAGCCCACTAGGCTCATCTGAGTGGGACAGCTAGTGAGTCTCTGTATTAATCACTGGCCCCAGAAAAAGGTGTCCCTTTGTGGCTGTCGAATTGTCTAGTGACCAGAACGATGAGACATTTAGGAGGCATTTTGGAACAAAGAAGGCTTTTCATGTTGCAAAGCTTGGGCTCCTGACCACTCGGGCCACCACAATACTCACATGGGTACGGGACTTTGAACCACGGGGCTACCAGAAGCACGCCTTGTCTGGCATCTGTACGGGCATAGAAGCCATACTTTGTGCTGTCGGGAGGGAAGACGTCTGTCACCGTGAAGATGAAGCACAGCAGCCAGGCCACAAGGATGGCCAGGATTATCTGTAGTGGTCAAGAAAAGCTCAGTCAGGCCCAAAGAGCTGGCAGTTAATGGCAAAACACACACACCTTCAGGAGTTCTGATGATCCCAGAGCCCACCACCATCAGTACTATGCAGAAAAAATCATGTCAAGGATTTGCTGATGAGCTATTCCTCGAATGGAACCTGAAGAGAACAGTTGCATGCAGGCAAGTGTACTTTTACCCCTTCAGTCTGTCTGATAAAATTAGATACAGTCAGATCTCACTCTGTCCTAGGCACAACATTCCCCTTCACACAGGCACTGCTGAGAGGATGGGCTCCAATTTCAGAACTGGGATCTTTCCAACTGGGAGTTCACAATGATGTGGTTCATCTGTAGTACCCTGCGGTCCCCACACAGACATGGACCCCCCTCCCTTAAGCTCCCTCCCTTCGCATAAAACGCTACATAAGAACCAAAGGCAATTATTGTCGGCCAAAGCACAGTGGACTACTCACAGGGAACATTTTGAAAAGCTGTAACTTGTATGCAGTCCATCCTTTCTTGGATTTGTATATTGGGAGAGGGAACTTAACATTTCTGGCATATTGAGAAAACAGTAACACTAGAAAAATTGTCCTGAAGAGAGAAAGAAAATAAATTAGGTGATAGGGCTACATGGACGACATTTTAAAAACAATACCAACAGTTCCAACAGAAAAAACTACTGCGTGTGCCCTTTTCAGAGAAGGAAAAAAAAAAAGTCATTGATCCTTTTAACTGCTATTTGGGAAATCTTATCTTTTGGAAATACTGTTTTTATAACGATGTTAGAACTTTCAGAATCTAACAGTTTGTGACACCGACTCATAGTGACCCTGCATAGTATTTCTGAGGCTGTAAATATTTACAGCAGCAGCAAAGCCTAATCTTTCTCCCGTGGAAAAGCTGGTAGTTTGAACTGCTGACCTTGAGGTTAACAGCCCAATTCATAACCACTATGTTATGAGTCTAGAATGTACATACTGAGAGGAAGAGCTCATACTATAATAAGGGAAAAGACAAGATATCAGATACAAGTAACCCAAAATGATTACCACTTTGAGATAAGCCACCAGGAAACCACACACAAACAGGTGTGTGAGAAGAATGTGATCTGCTTGTCTGTGTTTTTTGATTTGCCTACAATGAGTTTAACTTCGTCTATATGCAGAGCATTCAGTATAAAGAATAGTAATATTCCAGAGAGGTGTCTGTAGTGGCCAACATGCTCAGGTCTTCACATGCATGGTCACCTCAGCCTTACAGGGAAACTCTGGTCCAAGATCATACACAGGGATCAGTGTGTATGGGAGCTATAACCTGAACTACCTTCAACGCACTGGCCATAAAGTGGGGGGAGCCTGGATGGGCCCCTGCCCCCGAGGTTGACACTCCTGAGTACTATGAGAGGCAGCAACAGGTGACCCCTGCCTCACATGACTGGTAGGGTTACTCACCACCAAAACAATAAAGGCGCACAACCACGTGCTTAAGCATCCACGCGGACTTCCTCTTTGACTTACAACCTGAGCTAGAGTTGGCAGAAAGAGTGGATTCTCAGTCAAAGCTCAGCTTAATTGCTCCTGGGCACAGTTCCAAATACTAAGATGAGATTATTAGGTCCACTGACAGCCAGGCAAGTACAGCTTCACGGTCACAGTCCTAATGAGGTATGGGCCGTGGCCTGGCCTGAGAGCGGATATACGCTCTCTACAGGCCAGCAGCCCACGGGGCACTCCAGGGTTACCTGATGTCTCAGTCCTGCACAAAACCACTGGGCTAGGAGTTCAAGATGCTGACAACATACAGCATGCCCAGCCTCCTTCATTTCTCCAGAATAGTAAAATTTAACAATAAGCAACAGGGTAACAAGGAATACTAAAACCTACACGATTTTAAGCTTAGACCTACATACATTTTTCATGTTAAAAATTAAAAAGGATATGTCTCATGGTGAACGCCAGAAGCTCCCTAGTCTGCTACGACTGTTGTCATTGTTCTAAGTGTTGCTCCACACCTGCACGGTGCTGTATCGTTCACCTTGCGATGCACACTTACAAAGGGATGGACCATGTGACAGTCTGGAAAAGGCCACAGGACAGTGAACTAAGACGACCCTGGGACAGGAAGAGGGATGAACAGTGGAACACGGGATTTTTAAAGAAGTGAAATTATTTCACGCAATACTGGAATGAGGACACAGAGCATTAGTCATTTGTCAAAAGCCAGAGGACTGTACAATAAGGTCTAACCCTACCACAAACTATTGCTGTTGTTAAGTGCTGTCAAGGCGATTCCCATTCAGAGTAACCCTGTGCAGGGTTTCCGAGAAGCAGCTGATGATGAGTTTGAACTGCCAACCTTGAGATTCAAATGAACTTTCAGTCCAGTGCTTATCCTACAATGCCAAAACAGGAGTCCGTAGCTAATAATATGGATCAATATTAGTTCATCAGTTGTAACAAATGTACCACAAAAAGGCGTTAATGAAACCAAGGCGTTAATAATATGGGAAACAATATGAGGGAGTCCTGGTGTGGCGCTGTGGGTTAATGCGCCATACTGCAAAGCAGTTTGAACTTCAAGGTTGGCCATTCAAGCTCACCAGCTGTTCCTCGGAAATCCTAACAGGGTCGCTATGGGTCAGAACCGACTCGACAGCACTTAACAACAACAACAACAACAAGATGAGGGAGAGGAGTCCTGGTGTGGTGCTGTGGGTTAATGTGCTAGACTGCAATGTCAGTTTGAACTGCAAGATTGGCAGTTCAAGCTGACCAGTTGCTCCATGTAAACCTTGTATACAGGTCACTATGGGAAGGAACTGACTTGACGGCACTCATCAACATGAGCGAGGACACCTGGTGGTGCTGAGGATGGCAAGGTGGGAAGTTCAAATGTGCCAACTGTTCCCCATGAGAAAGGTGAGGCTGTTTGTTCTTGTAATGATTTACAGCCTTAGAAACCCTATATAGGGTCACTATAAGTCAGAATCAACTCGATGACAAGTTATACAGGGGAGAGGAGGCATATGGGAACTATACACAGTTTTTGCTCAATTTTTTTGTAACCTTAACTACTCTAAAACAATAAGTCATATTAATTACAAAAAGGAGGGGGGAGCATGGGTGCACTGAACTCAAGACATCAAGAGTCTGACAAATTCCAACAAATCAAGTCTGTGAATTGGGTAGCTGAATGCTGTGTCATCTTTCTGTTATAAAGCCTATATGCTCTTCTATTTTTATCTTTGACGTAGGCAGGGCAGGCATGCCCATTAGGTGGTAGTGATGTCATTGTTAAGTTCTGTCTCACAGTGACCCTGCATATGGCTTCTGAGGCTGTAAATCTTTGCGGGAGCAGAAAGCCTCATTTTTCCCCCACAGAGTAGCTGGTGGGCTAGAACCGCTGACTTTGTGGTTTGCAATCCAACGACCCCATTATAGAGAAGCAGAAAATGAGGAAGACCTTCAGTGAGTCACGGAATAGCTGCAATAATGAAGTCAAATATACCAAAGACCATAAAGAGATGGTATGGGTGGGACCACAAGTTTTGTTCTGTTATACATAAGATCCCTATGTCAGAGAAAGACAACTAGCAACAATCGTTATTTGCACTCCATTTTGGTTAAATGGCTGCTTAAACTACATCCCGGTCTACTGGGACTCGCTTTTGAATATGAATTAGAGTCATCACTTTTATTCTAGAATTTGTTGCAAACATTTCCCCCCAGATCTCATTTGCAATTTAGTCTTGGTGGTTTCTTATCTGAGTTTTACATGCATAAGTAGTATAATCTATTCATCTTTCTTTTCAGTATCTGTTTTAAGACAGATCTTCCCTGGCTTATGATTAATACCTTCGGAGGTCTTCTTCTAGCACATGTATGGTTGTATTTACTGTATACTGTCTTTAATTCAACTGAGATGCAAACTGGTTTAAGCTATAAAACTAGCAATGTCACAAATAACTAAGTTTTTCATATAGAGCTCTCCTAGGATCCATTCCTGTCTCAGGACCATAGTTGTACTTATGAACAAGCTTTTGGAGTATATTCTATTCCTGTAGGAACAGGTCAGCATTCCCTTCTCCATGACTCTTCTGATACTGAGCCCTGTTCCCTTATTTGCTTCTCTTATGCTACCCTGGCTAACCACATCCACAACAATGTCAAATGATCCCGGTGATCATAAACACGCTGTATATCTCAGTTCCTGATTTCAACAGACAGGCGTAATTTCAGTCTTTCACCATTAAAGTATGATGCATCTGTAAGTCTCCTTCATGAAAGATCCTTCTATAGTTTCACATTACAACAAGTTTCCATCTGGAGATTTGATGACTGTTCAAATGTATTTTTGGAACTGTCCCCAGGGTTCTAAGTCAATAAAAACGTATTAACAAAATCCACCCTGAGCACACAATAGATTTTATTAATACATTTTCTGCTATCGAATCATTCTTGAGTTCCTGAAACAACACATGTGTTGTTCTTTTCCTATATTACCTGTAGCAACATCTCCCAAAAGTAAGTTCCAAAGAACATTCTTCTAAGGTACATTTATAGAAGAGCAGCTAAAAACATACGTGTGGGGGCATGGCTGGATATGAAGGTCCTGCCAGCTTCTGCACACTTGCATTTTAAAGGTTGTGGTGAGTCTTACAACAGAAATAGATGCTGGCCTTCAGCACGCTGCTACCTGCAAATATCTGAGGTCAGACTCTCAATGAGAGGTGTCCAAAGGCAACTGTCAGGTCAGGGTTATGCACAGCCCTAGGAAGGAAAATGGAGGTCTATGGGACTCCCTTTTGTATCAACTCTGTATTGGCTGAGATGTTCTGTTTCCCAGTGTTCCAGAACAGGCAAAACAGTGCGAAATTCTCTCATTTTTAAAATTTTAATGTACTTAATTGGGTTCAAGTCCCCCCTCCCCCCACCCCTAAATGTTACTCAGACCTCCTGCTCCTTCCCTCCAAGATTCACAGCACACTTCCTGAGCACTTGCTGAATTCAAAGAGATGTGATGAACACAAGGTGATGTTCCAAACACAAAAGATGAATTTTTGGAAACTTAAGAAACATGAGTGCAGAAATGAAAGGCTCAATGGAAAGTCACAGATGAGCAGAGGAAAACTCCCAGGGGATGACAGAGACAGAAAGGAGGAGAAGGAATTCGAGGAAGAGTATAGGAGATTCGATACCCTAAAAGTTCTAGAAAGAGAAGGAATGGAGGCCTGACTTTCCAGGAAGGAAGAGCCCCAGTGCCTCAGGCCAAGAGATACAAAGGCAGACCCAAGGGGCAGTGGGAAAGGTTTCAGATACCAAAACAAGACAACCCAGAAGCTTCCAGCATTTCAGCATGTGTCTCATTGGAGTTTCAGGAAAGGATGGAAGAGGAGGCTTTGGAGAGGTAACTAACCATTTTAGAGAGTTGAGAAATGACTAGAAGAAAGCTGTACAGGAGCTAGGAAGAGGTGGCTGAGGGTACAGCTCGACAAGAGTGGTAGTAGTGAAGACCCAGAGCGGTGACGAGATTCAGAATTTATTCTGAAGTAGAAGAGTGATGGGTTACCCATAGGGAACAAGGAAAAGGGAATAATCAAGGACGACTCCAGGGTTTCTGCAACTGAAAGTGTGTGGTGCTGTCAGGTACTGAAAAGAGGCAAGAGAAGGAAACCAGGAAAAGAAGGAAGAGCAGGGAGGGAATAAAAATCTGAGGCTTTTTTCCTTTGAAGACTGAAGATGCCTTGGAAATAAACAGCAAGTAGGGAAGGCAGGTAGGAGTTATACCTGTGAGTATGGGGCACAGGTCTGGGCCCCAGATTTAACTGTGGAACTCACTAGCATAATAGATATTCATTGATGCTATGGAATGAAGCAGATTTCCTAGGTGGCAAAGTACATGAAGGGCAGGAAGGCCCACGATCAACTTCTGAAGAACACGCATGCAGATGGCAGGGTGCGGAAGGCTGTTTTGGAAAACCACTCATTTTGTTGTTTTTTGTTGTTTTTTAATTTGGGGGCATAGCTCTGACTCTTTATTTTGAAAACTGTCCCTGGATTTGTGGTTTATTTCCTTTCTGTGGGTGTGCTTTCCCTTCTCATCTTGATTGGCCTTACCAGGAACTTAGCTATATTGATTTTGACCAAAGGATCTGCTTTTGGATTTATCACTTCTATATGCTTCAGATTTTCCATATCTTCATTTAAATTCCTTCATCTGACTTTTATTGGGTTCATTTTTCTCCCTGCTTTTCTAGCTCCTGGAGTTAAAATCTTCATGTGCTTTATGGATTCCTTGGAGAACAACTCTATTCTAGAACTGTAATTAGTACTGTTATTGTCATTTTCTAAATGATCAGCAATTGAAGTTTCAATTTCCTCTCACAGAGCAATTTCTAAAAATACAGTTTTGCTTCTAAGCAGTTAGGGGGTTTTTGTTCATCCTTTAGTGGTTGGTTTCTATTTATTGCACTGTGGCAAATACAAAATTTTTCCTTTTTGAAATTTATTGCATTCCTTTGATTTAACAATCTTCATGTTATCTACACACCCATGTTTTTTGCCCACTCTTGGTGAAATGAAAAAAAATAAGAACAACCTTGCTTATTATCATATACCTTACTTTAATCTGTAACGATAGATGAATTACATCTATACTACACTCGGAAATCCTACACAGAGTCACTATGGATCGGAATCTACTCGATGGCACACAACAACAACATACTTCACTTTATTAGTACACCATGTCCTAATTCACAGAGGCAGGAGTGAGTGTTGTAGATAATGCTTCAGGCAGACCACTTGGGTTTTGAAACTCACCTCAGACACTAGGTGTGTGATTCTGGGCAAGTAATTTTGCATCTTTGTGTTTCAATTTCTTTAGATGTTCAATGGCAGTTAACAATAGTACTTACTTACCTTCTAAGAACTCTGAGTGTTATATTGAGTTAATGGCTCAATAAATGCTGTAGTTAAGTGCCATCAAGTCATCAAGTTCCAACTCATAGCTGTATAGGATTTCTGAGAAGTGGCTAGTGGGTTTGAACCGCCAACCTTGTAGTTAGCAGTTCAGTGCTGGTGCTATAGCACCACACCAGAAGTTCTCAATTTTATTAATGTGAAACTCATTTCTTATTTTAGAAATCCCAGTCTTGGAACCACTTTCTGGGAGCCAATCTTATGTATGCTCTAGAGACATGCAAAGAGAATGTAAGTTTATGTGGAATTCTGCGGCTCTAATAATTAGTCTTTAAGTAAATAATTAGTTTAATAACTAAAGTCATGTATTTCTTTACTTATTAAAAAACGTTGTCTTACTTAAAGAATCAGGTGACCTATGTAACGAGACTGTGTGGCCACTTCTGGCAGGAACCATGGCCTCCCTGTGATGTGCAGGGCTCCACTTAGCCAAGCGGGGTTCGACCTCCTTCCCATGCCATCACACCTCCTGTGTGCCTTCTCTGTCTGTTGCCAGTCTAGAAGCATGTTTGAGTGTCATCTAAAAAATCCAGGTCTATTTTCAACTCCTGTAAGATCTGGCATGACCCCAAAAGTCCAGTTAAGGATGTCTGCATCTTCTTACCCTGCTCTCCTCAAGTTTGAAGACCAACAGGTTCCCCCTTCGTATGCATCAATGCATGGTACTTCCCAGTCTCTAGGTCTAAAGACCAATTTCGTGGTATGACACAAAATAGCTTTGTTGTGACAACAAAACCTCAGGAAGCCAGTATGAACTCACGCAAAGCCGTGCTTCGGTGGTGAGACCAGTGAGCAGATTTTTACTGGCCACTTCTGAGTCCAGCTGTTGGGGCCCAGTGGAAGTCACACCATGTAGGGTGTGCTCTAAATCTAATCACTTCAAGTGATAAAAACAGCAGAGGAGACACCGACACAGCTGGCCCAGGGGCTGGGGGACAATGGACACTATTGACCACAGAGGCAGATGTTTTTACAAGCCCAGGATTTCCAAGGATTGGGGATGTCTAGTCTTCTGAACTGGGAGAAGCTAAATTTCTGTTCCTTAAAGTCACCCATTTTTAGTATTTCTATTATAGTTGTTTTTAAATGCCATTGAGTAAGTTCTGATTCATAGTGACACTGTATAGGGTTTCTGAGGAGTGACTGATGAGCCTGAACCGCCGACCTTGTGGTTCAAACCGACTTTTCAGTCCAGTGCATTAACCTGCAGTGACACACCAGTAGCTCCAGGTAATTAAGAGCCGTGAAGTGGCTCTGTAGGATAAGCACAAGGTCGGTGATTCGTCACTACCAACCACTCCACAGGGGAAAGATGAGGCTTTCTGCTCCCCCCCGCAAAATTTTCAGCCTTGGAAACCAACCCTAAGGCATTTAATAACAACAACAGGCAATTAAGGTACCTTTTTGACTCTGCTCTGCCCAATCCTGGTTTCGAAAGAATTTAACAGTTCTACAGTTCAAGCTTGCTTGCTGAAAGCATAGAAGACTTAAAATACTTATTGATGAAGATCAAAGACCTCAGCCTTTGGTATGGATTGCATCTCAATGTAAAGAAAACAAAAATTTTCACCACTGGATCAATAAACAACATCCATACAAATGGAAAAAAGACTGAAGCTGTCAAAGACTTCATTTTGTTTGGATAAATCATCAACACTCATGGAAGCAGCAGTCAAGAAATCAAAGTTGTATTGCATT